AGAGCACCACCTAGGGCTGCATCCAAGGACCACATACCCAAAGGGCAGACTGGGCCCCTGTAAAGCAAATCTTGCTCCGTAGGGTCAGCCCCTCACCAGCCTGTCCTCAGAACCAATTAGCCCAAGGATTATTCCCTCCCACTGACATGCAAACAGCAACCAAGGCTCAACTACAACAGGAAGGCACACACAATCCACACAGGGGACACACCTGGAACACTTGACTCAAGTGACCAGAGAAGACTGTGCCTCTGGGCCCCACAGGACCTATACGAAAAGCCATTTTCCTGAGACCAGGAGACAAGAGCCGTACTTAATAAATAGAAAGGAACACCCAGAGGCAGCCAAAATGGGGAGACAAAGAAACAGGTCCCAAATGAAAGGCTAGAACAAAGCTCCAGGAAAAAAAACCAAAAAACAAAATGGAGACAAGTAATCTACCAGATGAAGAATTCAAAACACTAGTTATAAGGAAGCTCAATGAACTTAGAAAAGAGTAGATGAACTCAGGGAGAACTTTAACAGAGAAATATAAAACATAAAAATGGAGACGGAGAACGTAAAAAAGAACCAGTCAGAAATGGAGAATGCAATAACTGAAATAAAGACTACTTTAGGAGGAATCAACAGCAGATTAGATGAAGCAGAAGACGAATCAGTAATTTAGAAGATAAGGTAGCAGAAAACACCCCATCAGAACAGCAACAAGAAAAGAATCCAAAAATACGAGGATAGTTTAAGGCAGGGGTCCCCAACCCCTGGGCCAGAAACCAGTACTGGTCCATGGTCTATTAGGAACCAGGACATACAACAGGAGGTGAGCAGCAGGCGAATGAGGGAAACTTCATTTGTATCTGCAGCTGCTCCCCAGAGCTAGCATCACAGCCTCAGCTCTATCTCAGATCATCACACATTAGATTCTTATAGGAGCACCGGTCCCTGGTGCCAAAAGGTTGGGGACTGCTGGGTTTAAGGGACTGCTGGGATATCAAGCACAAGAACATTTGCATCATAGGGGTACAAGAAGGAGAAGAGAGACAGCAAGGAACTGAAAACCTGTTTCAAGAAATAATGACTGAAAACTTCCCTAACCTGGCAAAGGAAATAGACATACAAGCCCAGGAAGTGCAGAGTCCTAAACAAGATGAACCCAAAGAGAACCACACCAAGACACATCATAATTAAAATGCCAAAGCTTAAAAACAGAGAATCTTAAAAGCAGCAAAAGAAAAGCAATTAGTTACCTACACAGGAACTTCCAAAGACTGTCAGCTGATTTCTCGACAGAAACTACGCAGGCCCGAAGTGACTGGCAGGAAATAGTTAAAGTGATGAAAAGTAAGTACCTATAATCAAGATTACTCTACCCAGTAAAGCTATTATTTAGAATCGAAGAACAGAAAAAGAGCTTCCCAGACAAGAAAAAGCTAAAGGAGTTCATCAACACCAAACCAGTATTACGAGAAATGTTGGACAGACTTAAGAAAATTTAAAAATATGAATAATAAAATGGCAATAACTACATATCTATCAACAAACAATTGCTTTGAATGTGAAGGACTAAATGCTCCAATCGAAAAATAGATGACTGAATGGATAAGAAAATAAGACCCTTACATATGCTGCCTACAAGAGACTCACTTCAGATAGAAATACACACAGACTGGGGGTGAAGGGATGGTAAAAAGGTATTTCACAAAAATGGAAACAAAAAAGGCATGGGTGGCAAAATTTTTACCAGAAAAAACAGACTTTAAAACAAAGGCTAAAAAAATAAAATAAAATAAAACAAAGGCTACAACAAGAGACAAAGAAGGACCTAGTAATTCCACTTATGGGTATCTATCCAAAGAAACCCAAAACACTACCTCAAAGGGATATGTGAATCTGTATGTCCATTGCAGCATTATTTACAAAAGCCAAGATATGGAGGCAACCTGGGTGTCTATCAATGGACGAATGGATAAAGATGAGGTGGTACATATATAGAAATGAAATATTACTCAGCCATTAAAAAATAATGTAATCTTGCCATCTGCAACAACATGGATGGACCTAGAGGGTACTGTGCTGAGTGGAGTAAGTCAGAAAAAGACAAATGCCATATGATTTTACTTACATGTGAAATCTAAAGAACAAAATAAACAAAACAGAAACTCATAGATAGACTATTTTGATGGTTGCCGGATGGGAGGGGACTGGAGGGGGTAGGTGAAAAAGGGGAAGGGAAGTACAAATTAGTAGTTACAAAACAGTAATGGGGATATAAAGTATAGCATGGGGAACATAATCAATATTGTAATAACTATATATGGTGTCAAATGACTACTAGATTTATCGGGCAATCACTTCGTAAGTTATATAACTATCTAATCACTATGGTATGCACTAATATATTTATTGTATGCCAACTGTAACTGAAAAATAAAATTTTTAAAAATTAACTTTTGTGCTGTAAATCATATAAAGTAAAAGACGAGCCAAAAAATGAAAATATTTGTAAACTATCTGATAAGGACTGATACCCAGAATATACAAAGAACTCTTACAATTCAATAATAAAAAGACAACCTAATTTAAAAATGGACAAAAGATCTGAATAAACATTGCTCCAAAGAAGATATACAAATGGCCAATAAACACATGAAAAGATGTTCAACATTACTAACCATTAGGGAAATGCAAATCGAATCACAATGAGATACCAGTACATACCCATTAGGATGGCAAAATAAAAAAGATAGATAATAAGTGTTGAGAATATAGAGAAACTGAAACCCTTATCTATATATTATTGGTGGAACTGTAAAATGGCACTGCCACTTTGGAAAATAGTCTGGCAGTCCCTTAAAAAGTTAAACATAGAGTTACCTATGATCCAGCAATTCCACTCCTAGGTATATATCCAAAAAAATGAAAACATACATCTACCTAAAAACTTGTTTATGAATGTCCATAGCAGCACTATTCATAATAGTCAAAAAGTGGAAACAACCCTATGTCCATTAACTGATGATGCATAAACAAAACTCACAGTATAGAGTACGAACCAAGACAGGACGTATTTGGGGTACCAGGACCGTAAACAGAAGACGTAGAGGACAGGAATTCAACTTCTTAGAGTAATATGGAAAGAGACAATTGCCAAGCTCTTTGAGGACTAACAACTGGGCAGCTGCCCATGAATCAGCCGCTGGTAAAATACCTTGACAGCTAATTCAGAAATGCACCTAGGAATAAAATTCTTGCCTGTGGCAGAGGTAAATATCAGAAAAACCTACGCAACAGGATTTAGGTCCTGAGCATACCTAGGGATTAGAACTCAACTTCTTCAAGGGACAAAACTCCTCTATCTCCTAATTATAAAAATTGGTTCTGAAATGTGGATCCCTAAGTGCTAGACTAAGGCAAAATTGCTCTATAGGGAAAAGCAAACAAAGGAAGAAAAAAATTTTAAAAAAGAATTAATTCTCTCAAGGCAAACTTGCCAACAAATATAGATTACAAAGCATATGAGAAAATCCAACACCATTTAAAAATAGTAACAAAGCACAAATGAAATTCCTTGTGGAAAAACTGGAAAATACAAATAAAAGATAATTCCATCTCCCAGAGACAATTTCTGCTAAGACATTGTACACACCACTCCAGACTTGTGGATATATAATCAAATACAAATATCCATGACATTATTTAATTAAAAAGGGGATCATATTCTATGTATTGTTTAATAACCAAATTTTCCACACCGTGATATCCTATCGATAAATATAATTTAACATTTTATTGTTATATTTTATTATTTTAAGAAATCGAAACTATAAATGGTCCTCTAATGTCAAAACACTTAACAGGGAATTCGTGTTAATTTTACTAGGTGTGATAAATAGCACTGTGATTGTTTTTTAGAAGTATTTATAAATTGAAGATTTATGCCAGAATAGTTTATGAGTAAACTATTATAATGTTTGGAATTGGCTTTAATTACTACAGGAAAAAAAGTAAAGGGAAAAAAACACATTAAAGATTGATAAAATGCTGACAATTGTGAAAGCTGGATAATGGGTAGATGGGGGTTTATTTTCTCTATACTTGATATATTTCAAAGTTTCATTTAAAAAAAAGACCCCTATACCCTTTAACTGACATGTAGTGACTGAAAATGAGATATTTGGTTTGTTGCTGTGAGGCAATCAAGCGATTCCATTTTTGGAGATACTACTTGGTTGTATTATTTGTACGCTAAGAAAAGTCCCAGGAATAAGTGATGTAGTTAATTCTACTAATTTACAATAGCTAACAATGAAGACGCTTAGGAAGACTGAAAAATCTGAGATTAAAAATATATTTAGACTATCTAATTACAACTATCTTTCGCTTTCGTTGTATGTTATAAACTAAAATTAAAATGAGCTGAATACATAATAATTAATGAAAAATACCTTAGGCTTAAACTGTGAAATGATACAGTAAATAAAACTCATTTAATGCAAAAAAATAACCTTAAAAAACCTGATGTTGAAGATTTTTTCATTTCTTAGGTTCTTAATTTGAAAATCTATTAATTTTAGAATTCCCCTTAAAAAACCTGATGTTGAAGAATTTTTCATTTCTTAGGTTCTTAATTTGAAAATCTATTAATTTTAGAATTCCCCTCCATAAAATACTGAACTGGCTAAGATAAAATTCCAAAATTTTACATATTTTATAACAAAGGAATATAAGTTTGGGGGTTTCATTCAATATTTTCAAGAGTCTGTACTTTACTTTAAAACATTTGACAAATTTTCTAATAACAGGGTATGAATGCAACCATAAAACTAGATAACCAATCATGTCAATAAATAATACCCCCAGGAAATGTGTTTTATACACAAACGTAATTTCTGATATTTAATACATAAAAAGACATCTTCCACTCCTCCCACCTCCATCTCAGTTCTTTAAACAACAAATAGAGTTCTCCAAGTCTAAAGTAGTTGAGTAAGACTTCCACTAACCTTTATATATGCACTTGGGTAGATCTTATGAACAGCATCTCCAGGTGCACGCCCAGCTTCTCTGTCTAAGTAGTAACTCTGTACAAAGACTGCATGGTCGCTAAGGCACCTAACCCAAACATCACCTTCCCCTTTACATTCCAACTGCACACCTTTGCCTATGTGCAACCTTAGAAAGAAAAAGGGGATTATATTTCATTTTTTATAAGTATTTAAAAATATTAGTTCAGATTATACAGCATACCCAATATTGAAAAATTAAAGGACTTTATATAACACCATAACCAAAAGACAGCCATTGTTAACATTTTTGTGTATCTCATCCTTTTTTAATATCTTAGTCATACATAATAATGATGAACATATATATAATGCTTACTGCGTATCAGGAACGTTTAACATAAATTCTCATTGAACTCTCGCAATTAAATAAACTACTATTATTCCCATTTTATAAATGACAGAACAAAGGCTTATGCTACAGTGTCCAAATCAATAGTCACTAGCTATAAATGACTATTTAAATTAAAAATAATTTTGAAATTCAGTTAATCACATGACCATATTTTAAGTGCTCAACAGCTATATGTGGCTAGTGGCTATTGCACTGGACGACACAGATAAACCATTTCTTTCATCACAGAAAATTCTATTAGCACTGGCTTAGAGTTGGTAATTTGCCAAAGTACTGACAGAGCCAAGATTACATATTTATGCAAACACACAAGTTCTTAAAGAGTTGAAATTACACAATACTTAAAACTATGTATATTTTCCTATAATATTTCATCTGAGGCATTTACATTTGATTATATAAACTTTTTAGCATTTTAATGACTACATAAAACATCAAAGCATCAAATTTTATTTAACCATTCCCTTTTATTATTAGTTTTTCAACATTATAAATAACACTTGCAGAAACATCTCCATTTTATATTACTTCCTTTCAATAGTTTTGAGAAATAACATATGAGCAGAGGAAATAAAAATTAGTTTTCAAATTGAATTCCAAAAGGTCTAATTACTATTCAAAACAGAGAAACCTCACTACTTTTAAAATCACCATCTTATCATATTTTAAATAACCTCTATAACTAAAATGGAATTCTTACAAATCTGAATTTTCAAGATGACTTTATTCTTTTATCATGTTCGATAACAATCTACATTGAAAATATAACTTTGAATAAAAGACAATATACTATGTTCAAAATAACTTTTAAAATAACTAACCATACAATCAATACCTTGCTCTCTCAATGGCTTCTGTCCTGTGGACATTGGAGAGTTGACCCAAGCAAAAGCGATCTCCTCCAGAAGGGTCCACGTATCCATCAACAGTAACAATAGGGCAGCTTGAAGGAACCTTAAATGTCTCTCCTACTTGAACATCCATTTCAAAGTAAGCGATGGAACACCAATACTCAGGAGCTATGAGAGATAAATGTGAGCTATCATCACCCCATAAGATAAAGTTTTGCCTAAAAGAAAGGATGAAGGGACAGGAGAGGCATCTGAAAATCATCCAAAAGAATCTGATTACAACAATGCGTTAAAAAGTAGGCATTTTCAATCTTGTACTAGTTCATAATGGGTTCCACTGGACAGATACTGGGCCAGCATTATTGATTTATCAAGCAAGATCTGTTCCACAGAGTCAATGCCACCACCTCCCCTTAAAATTCTGTAGAAGTTACAAAAAAGAAAGTGGTATGTTGTGTGATGATCAGCACTAACTCCTGTGTTCTGTCAAAGCCACCTGGGCCATGAGAAGGGAGTCAAATCAAGTCCGACTAGAATTCTGCAGAAGCCAAGTACATTTACTATGGCATTGAGTTTTGATACTTTTACTCTGATGTGCACTTTGAATTTCAACTACACCTATAGATATACGTAAAATGATAATTAAAATGCTGTGACCAACTTATTTAATAAAATTGGCACCCAGCCATGATTCTGTTGACTATGAGAAAGTTTATGTTAATTTTTAAGGTCTGATAGAATATTTCATGTGTATTACAGAGGCATTCTTATGTTTTGCCTCAACTCTACTTTTAAAAGCTTAAGTCCCAAATATAAACTTCTCTGGAACAAAGAAGTAGGCATTTTTATGTCTTCTATTTTTCAGCTCAGTCCCTAGCATTCTTGAAACTCTAAAGCCACTTTTTAAAACCTTGAATTCAGTTCTTACCTCAAAGGACCCAGTCAACTGAGACTTTAAAGAATGGAAGTAATCAGAACCTAAAATAAATTATTTTACTATAATGTTTCATTTGACTGCACATATTTTCTAAGTAGTCTAAACTTTTATTTTTTTAAATAACAGTGACTCTAAGACACATTCCAGGGAAATATTCTTAAGAACATCAATCCATGGCACATTTTTCTAGATCTCTAATTGAGAGAAAAGACCTAAGCAAAACAGCCAATCAGATCAGAGTCAAGGTTAATTACACTCCAACTACACAGCTGCTGTGAACAGAAATTCTCAACTGTCTCTTGGGTGAAAGGTCATTTGTTCTAGCTCTATTTTTAATGAAGTCAATTCATGTTAACTATTACAATTTTAACTTTGAAGATGCATTTAGCATATTTATTTGAATAAATTTAAAATAATTTTAAATTAGAAAAATTCATTTTCTGCATCTCAATGTGTCATTTACAAACACTGAACTACAATTTGAAGCAATAAAACTCTCAATAGTCTGAAAAGATAGGTAGAATGACAAAAACCTAGATCTTTTCAAGAATCTTAAAGTATAATATACTAAAGTACCTCATTAAAAAGCCAGTTTTGAAATATTTATGAAGGTATTCCTTACAGGAAAATTATTTATTAAAGATATCACGTTATGCTCTGAACAAGAAACTTCAGCAAACAACTGGCAGGTATACTGGTTGAAGTTTAAACTAAAGAGGTTTCTAAGACAAGATATCAATTATCCAATGTTTTGGCAACAAAAAACGGTAATACCACTTAAAAGAAGCCTTTATATAAATCAGTCCAAACAGTAAATTTTGTTACAAACAATGCCCTTAAGTCGTGAATGTTTACAATGCTGAGTTAAAAAAATAAGGTCCAAGTACATGCATTTCCTAGTTCACACTGAAGAACACTATCCAGAAGTAAAATTCCACAATGAGCAACTTTTTTCCATGAGAGTCAAAACGGGGGGAGAGGGGAAGAGTTGTATAATCTCCATATTTAAATAAGAGAAATACACTTTATCATGATTAATTGCAACAGCTGCAACCGCACTTAAACCTTATTTTATTATTTCCCAGTCACCAAGAGGTTTTTTGTTGTTTGTTTGCCTAATATTTTAGACACCATTCAACAATGATGGTTACATAAAGCTGCATCTTAAAATAGGTTTAGAATGAGCTGACCTGCTAGCACTGGGAAGAAGTTTTAAGAGACTTAAGGATAAAAAGAAACTGGCATCAGAGTCACACCACAGACCAGGGATGAAAAATAGCCTAGATCAATCAAGAGAGATTAAAGCAGTAGGAAGGGGGGTTACTATCTGTAAGGACAGAAAGGGCTAGAGGTAACCCAAGTGGGTTCCAAAGACCTTGACAGTATTAAGATATAAAATTCCATGTGGAAAACTTTTCTATTTCACTCTAAATCTGCTAACACTTATTTTTAAAACAGGAGAAGGTAATAGGAATTCATTAAGTTCATTAAGCCTTTCTGGATCGCAAAGAATTTGCCACATTTGGGAGAGTAGGGATGAGTGGTATGGGCTTCAAGATGGCCCTCAATGATTCTCACCTCCCGATATTCACATCCTTGTATAGTCCCCTCCCTACAAAATAGAAACTTACAGAAATGATGTGACTTTTGAGGCTAAGTCTTAAAAGACGCCAAGGCTCCATCTGGCTTTCACTTGATCACTCACTCTGGTGGAAGCTAACTGTCATGTGAAGACACTCAAGAAGCTCTACAGAAAGGTCCACACAGAGAGAAACTGGAGTTTCCTACCAACAATAACACCAACTTGCTGGATATGTTAGTAAGCCCCCCCCAAAAGTGAATCCTCCAGCCCCAGAAAAGCCTTCAGATAATGGAAGCTCGAGCTAACGATTTGACTGCAACCTCATGAGACTCTGAGCCAAAGCAAACCAGCTAAGCCACTCCCAGGTCCCTGACCTACAGAAATGAAATAACAAATTGTTATTGCTGTTTTAATCTGTTGCAGAATAACAGATGAATATACAGAGTATAAGACATATAAGGAAGAGAACCATGTGCAAAAACAGCAGAGGGATGTTATAGCCAAGCAAGCTTGGTTAAGCATCTCAGGATAGTTAAAGAATAAACAGATGAGGCTAGAGAAGTACACAGAGACCAGGATCGCACACTGTCTTCTGCCCAGCTAAGGAATTTGGACTTCATCCTATGGCAAGCAATGTGTAGGAGAATCTTTGAAAGTTCTTCAGCAGAGAAATAAGAACTAGATTCAAATTTTAAGAGAAATACTGATATCAGTAGAGATTAAATGGAGGGGAGGAGGGCACTATGATTAGAAAGTCTCCCAATAGGAAGATCAGTTAGAATATTCTTTTAACAATGCAAGAGGAGATATTAACAGCTGTGAAGTAAAACTGCTCTGGAGCCCATTAGTATTCACAGCCAAAGAGTTCAAAGCCATCTGGGTCCCAAGCAGGTGACTCCATTAAAGGTCAGCAGAGTTGATCCTCTTCCCCAACCACCTGGACAGAGACAGGATCACTTTCACCATTAAGTCACTTCCTATCCTACTCAAAGACAGAGGCTGTAGTGCCCATGTAGGGTGCTATATAGATACATATCCTCAGAACTAGTTAAAGCTGTTCCCTAACCACCAGGGCTCAAAATCAGTTAAATTCTGGGAAGAATGAAGTAAATCTATTAAGCGGCCAAAAGCAATTGCTGAATCCACAATTGAGTCCAAATAATTAGCTAAATGTTACCACTCCCAACCCTATCCCACCATTCCATCCAGGGTGGGTATTCCTTCAGAACCCTGATTACCCTCATTACTGAAGATTACCTTCTATTAAGCCACTGAGACCCCTGCAAGTTACCAGGGACCACTCCTGACTCTCAATGATGCTACCTCGAAGCCAGCAAAAATTTTCATTCTTATGACTCCAGATTTCATCATAAAAATAAATTAATTAAAAAAATTTTTTTTCATTCTTATGACTCTAGATTTCTCTCTCTTATCACAATATATTTATTCACAAACAAAATTAAGATTCTGGTACAATGATTTTAATTAGATAATTTCAAATACAAAACCAAACTATTAAACTAAATTGTTTAGGGATACATTCATCACTTTCAAAGAGCAAAAAGTTAATATCCATAAAAAAGCAGGATAGTGGTTATCTCTGGAGGGAGGAGAGGAAAAGTTTCTGACTGAGACAAAATGCATAAGGAAGGTTTCTGGGGGTGTTGCAATGTTTTAGTTTTCAATGCGGGTGGTGGTTACACAGGTGCTGGCTTTAATTATTCATTAGACTTTATGTACTTTCCTGTACATTTCTCAATAAAAATGTATAAAAAGACAAGACTTTTTGACTCACAAAAATGTATAAAACCACAACAAATATGAAAATATACAGAAAATCCACTAGCAAGGATACTTTAAACACATACACAATTTATATGTTTAAAAAAAATGTTTCTGCTCCACCAGCAGAATTTTTCTCCTAATCAAAACAAACATTGTTTGCATGTTAAATCAGCACAAAGTTTATTAAACTATCATCACATCTGCTGATGAGCAGAGTAAAACTGGTTCTAACACTCTAATGTGATCACTATAAAGCAATTTAGCCTTCTGATCCATAAATTCTTTAAATCTCTTAAACTGAAATATGAGAAGAGTTATAAGCATAAAGATCTTATACTGTCATTTTTTAAAAGCCAGAAGAAAAATGTGAACCAACATAAATAATAAATAGGAGAACACTGTTTAAGAACTTATGTAGCTCTATTTGAGGAACTGTGAGTCATTCCTTAAATTGATCATTATGGTTACTATAGTTGTATATTTTAAATCCTTATTGGAAATATATACAGGAATATTTACATATCAAATGATTTTGTGGGATTCCCTTCAAAATAATAAGTGAGAGTACGAATGAAAAGTAGGTGAGGGTATGAATGAAACAAAATTGGCCATTAGTTGTTAAGAGCTAAAACAGGGATGAGTACAATTGGGGTGGGAGGATAATTTCCTATATTATTCTGGTATTAGGTATATGTTTGAAATTCTTTATAAAACTTTTTTTTTAATTAGGGAAAAATTAAGGTGATGAGTTGAAATTATACATTTGTATAAAGAGAATGAAGGGATGGAAGGAAAGAAAACAAATCAAAATTCTATGTTTATGTTAAGAAGCCTTTGATATTTCATTTCTGAACTTTATTACTGCTATAGTTTAAAACTTATAGTAGAACTTTGAATTAAGAAAATCTACTTAGCTATTTACTCTTTTGGAAATAATTTAATGAGTTTCTAAATTCTACTTAACCAGGGATTCGTGAATCTATTTTCAAAGACAGAGTGAAGACAGAGTGAATTGTTTTCTCAGCATCTTCAGATGCTTCCCTGGCTTTTCAAGCTACAGTTTTACAGCTGTTCTATTTTGAAACTTAGTTTCTTCTGCTGCATATTTATGTATTCAATGACAAAACTGGCATTTTGGTATTTTATATTGTAGCTGAAAACACAGTTCTTTTCTTTTGGAGATGGTTAAAAAGAATCAAAAACAGTTTATGCATGACTACTCTAGCTATTCATGAACTATGGATTAACTAATGCCATAATGAGTACTGTACTTATCTAACAGTTTAAGTTATTCTGTAATTATTCTAAAACCTACATGTATATATGTTTCTATGACCACAAAGAAAAGTCTAAATACAGGAAATCGATTTTGAAATACACTTACCAGGATGATTAGAAATGGGAGGCTGGAATGCAAGCTCATTGTGAACTGGCCCTAAAGAAAAGACAATAAAAATCCCACTTTTATTTACTAAAAGTTCACCAATGCTAAAACTTTTATTAACCTTACTTAAATATAACTATCACACTTCAGGAGTTGTTTAGATCAAGGTTATGCAACATCCGAGAACTTAAAAAGCTTAGTTTGGATTACTTTATAATTATAATAAACAAATACTCTTGAATTACTTTTGTGGATATTTAATAGCTATTATTTTATTTATGTGCCAAGTGCTATTAAATAATTTATACTTGTTGTATAAGCAAAATTTAATGTAAATTAAATTATTCATGTAACATGTAATACAATATAATTTATAATGCAATATAAGATTGTTAGGTCTATTCTAAAAACAAATATTTATGGTTTATTACATTAAGGATATTTCCATACTGGAACAGTAGCTATTATAATTGAGATTATTATGTGTTAAGTCATTGTGCTAAATATCTCACATGAATTATTACATTTACTTCTTAGAACATCCTTTGAGACAGATGCAACTTTTATTACCCCTAAGGCTAAGGGAAGTTAAATAACTTGCCAATGGTCACACAGACAGTTAAGGGTCCAAACTCAGAACCCTTAACTACTTGTTATGCTGGCACAGGCAGACATTAAAAATTATATTCTCTTAAGACATAGAAAAATAGTAACATAACTGAAAAAAAAAAAAAAAGCCAGGATTTAACAATATATAGAGACAGTATAATCCCCTGCTCCCTACAAATTAACGTATACCCATTTATATGACTGGAAGGAAAATATGTCAAAATATTAGAAGAGGATATCTCCGGGTAGTAGGATTCTGGGTAATTTTTATTTTCTTATTTACGTTTTTCTCTATTTTCCAAGTTTTCGTTGGTATTCTTAATCTTATATTGGAGGAAAAAAGATTTAATATATATGAAAAATGTATACTCTTGATTTTACTAAGCCAAATGAACAATGTTCCAGTTCTGCCTGAAACTATAAGCTATGGTTAATCAGTAGCGTATCCCTCCCAATCGAAGTTATGAAGAGTAATGACAGATTCAACAGCTGAGTGTCTATGGTATGCTGAATACTACAGTGAGGGAAACCTTGACACTCAACGGTGTTCAATTCACTTAGGGTGGATATACAGATACACACAAGATCTCAGAACATTTACAAAGCAAACAAACAAATGAATGGAATTCAATGTAGCGTTATGAAACATCAGCAACAGAGAAATGTATTTGGTAAACATCACGCCTGTAAAACAAAGGTATGATAACATAATTATGAAAAATAAATAATACTGTTTATAAAAATTACTGAAAGGCACTAATCGTTTAATAAAACTAAATAGTAAGATGAATAAAAGATGTAAAAACATTTTTTAAGAATAGAAAAAAAAATCCTCAAAAAGAAAAGGCCCTTACAACAAAAACAAGAGCTTACAGTAATGTCCGGGATGGGGCGGCATAGGCGGGTGGTGCTGAAGATGGCCGTTTTGGTGGTGAGGCAAATTAGGTGTGTATGGTGCAGTCCTACTTCCAGTCCAGGTGGTAGTGCTGTCTAGAAATTAAGGCCCACATGGATTAATTTGCTTTTATAAAGTCTGCCTATTTTTTTCTCAACTACTTAAAAGATTTTTAAAAGCATGTACATACTATGATGATAAGTAGCTGGCTGACCAGTAAATCCATTCTGCTGCTGTCCTGGCTGAGGCCCTGAAGCTATCTGCAACAATCCTTCACTATGGCTGCCTGCCAGTATACTGGCAGGCTGACCTAGAGGAATGAGAAGACATTAACATGGTACATTTACAGATGCAATCCTATGGTTTTATACAGCAAACGAAGGACCAAATTATATCTGATAGTCACAACTACACAGATGGGCAAAAAGTGAAACTCATTCAAATAGCCCATCAAATAAAAAACCCTGCAGTCCTCTATAAAGGCAAATCTTAACTTGAATAAGTTCAAAATTATTCTATCTTAAGTAATGCCTACCTAATTTTAGTGGCCTACTTCTTCACGATATCGTTCAAATGCCAGCAAAATTCTAGTATATGTCTAGCCTATCAAAACCACTTCTTCAGAAACACATCAGCTCACTCCTGGCCACTCTATCCAGCTCTGGACCTTTCTGAGTAGGACTCCAAAAGTCAACTTAAGAAAATGTTAAAAACTGGAAAGTTCATTATTATCAGCACTGGTACTAGTAATGGCAGAATGCTAGGGTTTAATAAAAGAAAAGCAGAGCAGGCAAATATTGTAAATGGAATGTGATGAGTAAGGTGAGGAAGTTTAAAAAAAAAAAAAAAGGTCAAG